TAGGTACGTCTATTAATTTGATCAATAAGTATGCAAATCTAACATATAAACTCTCCGACATGTCGGCTGACTGATAATGATAAAGGCGTTTTGCCCGCTTAAAATATTTTCCGCTAAGTAAAACTTATTTAGGACACTTTTTGACCATTGAATAAGAAGTTTGAGAACACCCAAGTTTATAATAACGGATTTGGTCCTGAAAAATCTAGTTAGGGATAAAATGAAGTGTAATTAAATCGAATTATATAGGTAAAGTACGTTAAATTATATGTCATATAATAATTATAAGAAATGTTAAAATTAGCAATTTCGTAAGCTCTTATATGCATCCAATATCCTAAGCTTATAAAAGACTTAATTTCTAATCATATTTAACTTTGAATAGCGCCATCAAAATAAACCACACCAGACAAAACTACATAGAGTATTACTGTTACTTTTTGTTTGATTACTTTGATGTAAAATAATCCCGTAGCGAAGCCACGGGTAAATAAACAAGATATGATAAATTTTTTTGTGATATAATATAATATTCATTAAAATTGAACCTTCTCCAACTGCAATTAACCTCAAAAGTAATGTTGAATGAAATTATAATTTCAAGTGAATTAATAAAAAAAAAAAACTAAAGCATTGAAAAAAAATTGATGCTTGAATCACGGATCACAACATTTAATGCTTCCCAATAATAAGACAGATGATAATTTAAACTAGTTCACCTTCGGCATTAACAAGAAATAAATTACTCTCTCCCTTTATTTTTTCATATCGTGTCATAAAGGCATAATTCCCTATAGCTCCAGTGAGTATACCATTTAAACCTACTTTATAAAGTTCTGCAGGATCATCGTCATCAGGTCTATAATAAGAAAATACGGGTCCTCCAACATCTCTATCATCACTTGTAATTCGTATAACATCTAAACTTCTATAAACGTCAATTTGATCAAAAAACATCGCATCAAGCGATCTTATGTAACCGCAAGTAACATGTGTGCCGTAGCCAGATTTACATAAATGAGCACCAACGGCAGTTACAGACAAATCATCAAGTATAGAAAGCTGTTCATTATACATAGAATCAGTATTCCTTATAGACGCCTCTGGATTGAGATTGCCTATTTCGAGAACACCAAAATCGATTCCTCTATTAATATTTCCTCTTCTTGTCATTATTCCAATATTATTCTGCGCGTTTTGCCAATTCCACGGTAGGCGATGATAATGTTGGTTATGCCGATAACAACGTCCTGAGGTTATAAAGAAACCTTGATTTTTATCTTCTGTTTTTGCAAAATAACCTAGTGAGCACGTTAAATGGTGATTTGAATTATGTATACCTTCACCAGCTATAATAGGGAAATTTATCAGAGGATGAGGTTGGCGTTTCACATGTACATGATGTAAATCTTCATATTCAAAAATCGGATGCGGATTAATACTATTTCTGACTTCATTTATAAATTCCCTATTCTGTATGTCGTATTCATGGGATGAAAGTATAACAACATCATTAAGATTTACATCAATGAAAATACCAACAAACATTGGATTATGTCTTATAGCTATTTTGGCTATTTCTCGAATCCTTGAATTTAGGGTATTTAAGGGTCGATGAGCCCTGTCAATTATTATTAATTCCTTGCTATCACTTATGTCAGGGTTATCCAATAACTCAACGGCCCTATCAAAGTCTGTAGTGTAAAGGATTACTTGATCATGAGCTACATTTATACTAGTTCCCGCAAAATAGGCCTTATTTTTTGATAATTCTCTTATATTGTTATTCAAATCTATCAAAGTTGTCTCATCTTCCAATAAACTTTGCAGTTGGTTATCTGATACGTTCCATAATATCGCTAATGGTTCGGTCAGAGCATGAGTCGTTGGATATCTTTGTAATGTAAAAATAAATAATAAAATTATTAACAAGTGAATGTTTTTCATAATTGCATTAGTTATGACTAGAAGAAAAACATAAACGTTTTTTTGTAAGCTGGTGTCTAATTATTATGTCGTTAAGTTTCAGATTTAAATTTAAATTTAAATTTTAAAAATATTCATTGAACATGAAAATAGTCTTTGTTATTCTTTAAATTTAAATTAGACAAATAAAGTACGCCTATATGGTGTCCCTTAGATAGGGAAAATAATACAAGTTTTTATAATCTATCAAAAATAAAGGGTAGAATATATATAGATATAATTTCCTTACAAATCGGGCCTTATCAAAATTTTGTGGTACTATACATAGATTCAAATCTTTATATATTATAGTAAAATTTTATAACGTGTCATTAAAAATTGACCTTCATAACTATATCGAGTTTATATAAACTATCAAAAATAAAGTACTATGAAGAATAGAATATATATATGGATATAATTTTCCCTACAAATCGTGTTTTATCAAAATTTGGTGATAGTATACATAAATTCAAATCTTTTATATATTGTAGTAAAATTTTATAACGTGTCATTAAAAAATTGTCCTTCATATATTGCCTTAATTCTCCTAGGTTGCACGAAATTTGCCTAGGTTTAAACAGGAGGAAACGTCGATGTTACACGACTGATCCTTCACCCCGGCGTGCAATATATAAAAAATTATCCGGTAGTTACTATTGACTCATATTAATATTAATGCTATATCACGGCATATCAACGTTCGGACTGATTCGGAATCTTAATATTTCTTTTTTTGGTTATATATCTTTTTTTTGTTTTTTAAATGTTTATATTAACGTAAAAAAAAAAAAAAAAAAAAAATGAAAAGAAAAAAGAGAGAAAAAGAAAAGGTATGAAAAGAATAAGAAAAGAAAAAATCCCAAGAAACCACATAATCAATAAACTAATCTTTATACGAAAGAACAATAATTCACATAATTAACATGAGTAACATGATCAATGACCACTCCCGGATAATATCGTTATCAGGTAGAATGTAGGCAACATTGTGTCGGCATCATTTAGTGGCCATTTGATTAACTCCGATCATGCTGCGAAGCGGCATGATCTGAGCTAACAAATGGCCACTAAATTTATTATAATTAAATGATGTCGATTTATAATCATAACATGTATTAGCATAATTTTTTTATATTCGACAAACATTTCGATATTTGCTAGTTATTTATATGAACTCAACAAAGAAATTATACAATTTAATGTATTTTTGCATAAATAATTCAAATAATTTCACTAAAAATTTCTTCAACTATGAAAATTTAATTTCTCCACTAAGAAAAATTAATTTCGACAGACTAATTTCGATATAATTTTTTATTAAGAGAAATAATTTAGACGCCTATATACAGGGATGGCACGTCACAATGTCCGATTGGTTTCAATTTTTTTGGACATATGGCCAAAAAAATGGAAACCAATTGGACATTGTGACGTGCCGTCCCTGCTCATATATACCTAGGTTACTCAATATAAATATCATATTGGCTTGGTGCTGAGAAAAGGGACGAAATTAACAAAAAAGTTTTACAGAAAATTGATTTTATATCGTAAATTCTATAATAAATTATAAACCGATAAATTTTAAAGGGTCATAATACAAAATTTACAAAGTTAATGTCATAAGAAAAAACTGTTTCTAGACTAATTTTAGGCCACACAAGGTTATTTTTTCGTTTTGCATTACCCGCCGACCCAATTTTTTTTCAAAAATTCTTTTGTTTAAAAATAATTTATTTTAAACAAAAAAAAATAATAATATTTATTTTAATCGTTTTAATGAATTTAACCAAAAAATATTAATACTTATTTAATCAAAATATATAGACATATAAAAGGTACTCGAGTCTAATTCAAAAAATCGTAATGTCGAACATTCTTTATGAAATCGTATCTACTAATTTTAGTATCATCCATCTCAGTATCATCAACATTTATTACGCTTTAATATTTTTAAACCATTTTAAACAAAAAAAATGCTTTTTTTCATGTCATTAACACTAAAATCATAACGTTTACATTAAAATCTGTTGGCACAATTTTAGTGTAGTCGCGTTTACGTGAAGATTGCATACATAAAATGGGTGGTGCTCATTTCACCGACAATCACTTCACCGACAACTTAGTTCACCGACAATTAATTCACCGACAAGTTCA